AGTGCTCTTAAGGAGCCAGAAAATTCAAGATATGGGCTAGCCTCTCCAGATGCTTTGGCCTACAATTCCCATCAGCCCTAGTCAGCATAATCAATAGAGCGTGTGGGAGTTGTCCGCCAAACTATCTGCATGGCCACAAGTTGCTCATCCTTTGGCTAAGAGACTGAATGCCACAAGTACCACCAAGAAAACTAACTAGGGCCAACGTTGGGGAGAAGCAGTGCCCTGGACTGTTCTACCCGGATCCTGGGAAAAGCAGAGGAGGAGGAGGCATCAAGGAAGAGAGGGACTACCAGAAGGATGTGGTTGTGGCTCAGTTACAAAGGACTGGGAGGCAAGATTGTATCTGCTGTTGACAGGAAGAGGGATGCAGAGTACGGATGTGGACCAGTCAGAAGATCTGTCTGCAAGGCCGGTGTGGCTAAAGGAGATGAGATGGGAGGAACCGAGGCAGCTGTCCCAAAAACTGTTGCACGAGGAAATACGGAATGGTAGGTGCTTGGAGGTGGTGAGTTGTAGCCCAACACAGCCTTGAGAGCATGAGGGGGGGGGGAAATGGTTTCAGAGGCATTTTCCTAAGAATGAGGGAAAGGCGGGCAGCCTGAAAATCAAACACTCCTCCTCAGGTTGTAGAAGATGTAGAAGGTGCTCTGTTGGCCAGGTAGGCAGCCAAAGGAGAAGTTCCAGGGCAGCAAGTGCAGCGAGACGCTGGCCAATCAGCAGCCAAGCGTAGCCTGAAGCCACCTGCAATTCTAACAGAGAAAAACCTGTTTGCGTGGGAGCTGATCGGTACCCTTTTAGCATTATGGAATAGTTTGCTGCTGAATTTTTATTTTTACAAAAATTGGAGTACCCTGTGGAGTGGCAGCCCCATATATAAAATGGGGCAGAGCAAGACAAGGTTGTGGTTGTGGAGAAGAGGAAGATCTGCTTCTCTTGCTCATGCATTCTTGAGTAAATCACGAGAGCCCCACCCATCTTTAAATGTTGACTGAGGCAGCCGCATGAATACAATCTAGCTTGGCACTGAGATGCTGGAGAAGAAAAGGTGTGGGAAACGGAGCGCATGCTGCACTGAAAGGTCAGGAACTTGATCTTGGTCTGGTCTATCCATCCAGCAAAATGAAGACAGAATGAGGCAGCAGAGGACAGTGATGGCGGACTGGTCATCACTGGCCATCACAAGGTTCTTCTCAAGCTCCCCCCACATGGTTGGCCTTCAAGCAGGAGTGGGCCACACATTTTTAGATGGTCCCCTGTGGTCTCTTCCCATGCAGAGCTAGAAGCCATAGCTTCAGCATTCTCCAACCACTTTTGGCAGGGAAGATGGTGGGTGAGGCTCATGTCTGTCCCAAACAGCAGGAATGCCAGTCACCAGCTTTTTGAATCTGGCTAGCTCTCAGCTAAAGAGCAAGACCAGAGTTTGCAGCAGGCCTGGTTTGTTGCTTCAGGAAGCAGCTGATTGAAGTACCTTGTCTAGGCAATTTCCATCCGCCTTGCGTTCATGCAAGAGAGCTGTCCATGGTACTGAATCACTTGGCCCTGCCGGTCTGGATACTCGATGCGAGACTCTTGCCTCAAGTCCATCTCCAGGCTGTCTTCTGGCTTACAAGACACAGGCAAACAAATGCTGCACTCAACTATACCTGGGTTAGTTTCCCTGGGGGTGTGAGAGCTAAGTCAGTGGGTGGGAGCATGAGGAATCGCCTCTTTTCATCTGTGGCATCCTTGCCATCCGCTTAGAAAAGATGCTTCCTCAGAAGTGACAGGCACTTGCAAACTGGATTGCCTTCGCCTTGCCCAAGCCTCACTTCCTTTTCCTGGGCGACATCCAGAAAGACTGCTGTCATGACCTTGGCCTTCTAGGTGAACATAAGTTCATAAGTTTATAAAACACTGCATCATACCATGAGAACAAAATTCGAAATGAACATCTTGAGGACTGTAAAAATAATAGTTCAGTAATTCATCAAAAGGTCTAGAAATGCTGGTCAGCCTATATAGTTATATGCCTATATAGAACAGAGTGGATATAATCTGGAAAATGTGTATTATTCTCCTGTGGACCTTTCCAGTGCTCTCAAGTGTATCATTCTTCTTCTTCAGACATGGCTGAAACCCTAGGGCTGGGTGCAAGAGTGTGTGTGTGGTAGAGAGACAGAGTGTGGGTAAAGGAGGTGAGCTTCTTTTTCCTAGGAGGAAGTACTTCTCAACTTTCCTCTGAAAGGCTGACTTTCAAACAGAAGTGGGCAACACAATTTGACCTATGAAATAATCCCTAAGCAGGAAGGACTATAATGGAGTCCAAGATAGCAAAGTAATTCAAGGTGAGCAAAGTGGGCTGGGTCATATTTTAGCATAAGATGACAATGTTATAAAATGTGTTAGGTCTACATGTTCTGTATCTTGCCCTCCTACCCTTTCCCCTCCAAATGTACACATGCTGGCTTAGACAAATCTTAACTGAAACTGGTAATACTCAAGTCCAATTTACTGTGGAATTTCCTTGGCCTTTGCCACTTTACATGATCTGTCTAGGAGAATGTGTTTGCCAGTTACAATCTTTTCTTAGATTTAGTGGTGAACTTTAGCCTCTTAATAAACGTTCGTATATCAGAGTGTGTCCTTTACAATATTTCATGCGTAAGATGAACGTTTAATATGCCAGAATGTCGAAACTTTAATAAACAAGGTGTCAATAAACTCAGCTGGCATAGCATACAGAATTATGTCAATTACTAGTCTTTTTAATTTTTTTTGTTTTGCTTTCTCATAACAGTAATGATGTTTACAATGTATCCCAAGATATCCAATTCCTATCTAACAACAGTCCTAATCATACTGAAAATGTAGTAACGGCCTGAACCGTGTTGCTAGGAAACAATAAGATTGCAGTTTTCTATTCCTGCTCTGAGCACGGACTGGATAGTGTACAGGTTTCTCTTCAATGGCTGCAGTGAAATGGTTTCTTGCATTTTTTGCTCTGGTTTTCAGACCAGAAGCATGTATTTTCTACAAAACCATTACAACAACCTGCTGTAAATAGTAAAAGTTAATATATGATGTGTTGACATTTGAAAGACAAAGTACTTTGAATATTTCATTTTTAAAAAATAAAGTTGCAAACAATTAACCCAACTGCTGGTGTTGTAGTTGTTGAGCTAGTTCTTTTACAGAGGACAACAGCAGTGTGCCTGGTTTCCAGAGGACGGTTAAGGGGTTTTGTGGTGGTCATTCTCCTAGAAGTTTATTCTTTTGCTCTCCTTTGGGCACAATCCGATGGCCTCCTAACACCGTGGGGAGTCACAGAATGCTTCAGAAAGAGCCTGGAGGAACCAAATGACTAGTGAGGACAGGACAAAGAGGTCTGTCCCACCTTGCCCAGGAGTCTGCAGAACGTCAAGTCAGCACTCCATGGGGAGCTTTAGAAAACTGACCTTTGCTGCAAGCTTTTTAATTTGGTCATAAATAATCTGGAATTTGGAACGAGCAGTGAGGTGTCCGAATCTCCTGATCCCATCAAGGTATGCCAAATAAGATTGTGAAGTGTTCCAAAAAGGCAATCTACAGACTGTGAAACTGTGTGTTAAACTGGTAAATGTAGTTCAAAGCTCTTGTGGTATAAGTTGATGGGATCTCGCCTAGTGGAGACTGACTGAGGAGATCTTGAGATCTTGGGTAGTCAGCTTGAAGAAGATGTCAACCCAGGGAAGAGCTGCTCTGAAAAAGCCAGATCCCATGTTAGGCATACTTAAGAAAGGAATTGAAACTAAACCCGCCAAAATCTAATCTACAATAGATTTGTAGATTCATACAAATCTATTGTATGACCTGAGTAAGACTTCTGTATAGCATCTGGTTACCATACCTAAAAAAGGACATTTTGGAGCTGGAAAAAGTGCAGAAGGGGGCAAATGAAATGATCAAGGGGTGGGGCAAATATCTTATGAACAAAGAATATGCTATCAGGGATAAAAACGATGAGCAAGGAGAGCCATGGCAGAGGTGTACAAAGGAATCCAAGATGTGGAGAAAGAGGCTAGGAAAACATCTTATCCCTCTGCTACTAGAACCTAATAGAGGCAATCCCCTGAAGCAGAGGTTCAGGACAGATCAATGGAAATCCTTCACCAAGCACATAGTCCATCCATGGAACTCCCTTGCACAAGGCGTGTTTGCAACAGCCACCAATATGGGCAGCTTTCAAAGAGGATTGGAGTCGGTCGGCATCGGCGATGGCTACTAGTCCCAATGGCTACACACTACTTCTACCATCATGGGCAGTATGCCTAAATACAGCTGCGGCTGGGGAACATGGGCGATGTTGTATTCATGTCGTGCTTGAGGGATTTAGAGGGCAGCTGCTTCGTGAAGTGCGTGCTGAGCTGGATGGACCTTGGCTGGACCCAACAGGGCAATTCTGATGCTCTTGCATTGTTGCAACCCAGTATTCCTGGAAGCCAATGCAACCTATTACAGTCTGGCCGATAGATGGTATGAGTAGCGGCTGCCTGATTTTATTATTAAACATATGCATGAAACGAAAAAAACTCTCAGTCAACTGAGCAGGCGACTGGGCTGTAATGCATAGGACGAGGCGGGAATTCTTACGCCCAATGACAGATGGAGCGACTCCCCCGGCGTCCGGGGAAGAAAAGGACCCATGGAACGGAACCAGGAAGCGCCGCATGCAAGAAGCAACATGGCTTCTCTAACCTTTTCTTATCTCTACGTCCCCGTGACTACCGCTCCCTTTGAGCCGTACTCGTGCGATCCTTCAGCGCTACCCTTCCTGGTCTCTGCGGTGATGGCGCTGATTCTCCGCTTGGCGCGCTGACAAAGACGTAATGGCATGACTTGTGCGCCTGCCCCAGTCCCCGCCTCGATGACGTCACGGCGCGCCGCCGGCTTCCTCCGCGGCCGGTGAGCTCATCCGCTCCCCCGCGCGGAGGGGCGGGCCCAGCCGCGGCAGACCGGAAGTGACGCGGAGAGACCGGGCGGCGGAGCGCTGCTGTTGCTGCTTCTCCCTTCTGGTCGGCGCGGCCTGGCCTGGCCCGGCGCTTCGCCTCCCTCTCGTCCTCCTCCGTCCCCGCTCCCCGGCCCTGCCCGCCCGCCATGTCCGTGCCCGGAGGAGCCGGCGGCGAGTTCGGCAACCCGCTGCGCAAGTTCAAGTTGGTCTTCCTCGGCGAGCAGAGCGGTGAGCGGCGGGGCCGGGCCGGGGGCAGCGGCGGGTGATCGCGGGGTGGCCCATCAGGAACGGCCCGGGCGCGCGTCCTCCCGCTCGGCCGGCGGCGCCCCTCGGCGTGCTGCGGGGCCGCGCTCTTTGTGGCGGCCCCTCCCCGGCTGGCCGAGGGTGGTTCTCGCCGGGGCCGCACCCGTTGTTCGTTTGTGGCGGCGCCGCACCGCGTGCCGGCTGCCCGGTGGAGCCGCGTAAGCAGAAATTGCCGGCGGCCTCCTCCCTCCCTCCCGGGGCGACCGCGTGAGGCGCGCACGCCCTCCTGAACCCTTGGGATCGCGCGCAGGGGCCGGCGGTGTGCAGGGATGCGGGCAGCAGGCTCCGGTTGCAGTCTCCTGGCCGGCCTGGGAAGGAATCGGCATCCCCGGAGAGCCGCTGCCTTTCCTTGACTGCAGGGTGCGTTGCACCGCCGCCTGACTCGGCCTTAGACCGCTTTCCCCTTCAGAGTCGGGGTACGGGGAGGAAATGCATGTTTGTGTTTGTTGATGTGGGTGTCACTATTACTGATCAGCTGCAGGGCCATTCCATGAACATAGTGCATGGCAGAGGTTGCTGAAACAGATGAGAGGCAGGGACAACTGGGGAAGGGGGTTGTTGTAGCCATTGTCCTGTATTTTCTTACGCCAAAATTTTAAGCAGGAAAATGGGGAGAATTTGAGGAAAGAGAGGACAGCCCTGCAAACCTGAGATTATTTCCTTCTTCTCCAGCCAAGGTTCAGTAATTAGTATTATAGCAGCCTGCATTGCATAGTGCTCAGCAAAGTCAGGAGATCTGGGTACAAATTCTCACATGAAGTTCACAGGGTTATATAGTGTCAATCACGGCCTCTCAGCCTAACCTACCTTGCAGGGTGGTTGTGATGGAAAAATAGGACAGCTATACAACCCACTTTTTTACTTGCAGAAAAAGGGCAGAATAGAAATGTAATAAATGAGAAATGCCTCTCTCGTTCCATTGTAAGTTATTTCATTAACTTGCCACATTCTTGTGAAGGTGCTGGGGCATAATACGGGAAAAATTGTTTCGGTGATTATTTATTTGTTCACATATTTAAATTATTGGCATTCCACACTTTCCTGAGGAGATCAGAGTGGCACACCCTAACAGCCATAAAATGGTATAAAGAAAGATGCAATTCACAGCAGCCAAAATATCTAAGGATGCTTATGACCCTAATTTTAAGAAGTGAATTGTCCTAATCACAGGCGATGAATGTGGTGTGTGGATGTTCAGTAGAGGGACCTCCCAGAGGCATGCCTCACAGACCCTTCCTTGCACATGTCGCTTTAACCTGGAAGGACAGCAAGAAGGCGTTGGTGTGAGATCGCAGTTCATGTCTTCTCCTCCCTGCCTCCCAGGCCCCATACGAATGATAAAGCGTTTTCCGCTTATTTATGTATGCCCCAGTCTGACAAGCAGGGCTGGCCATTTACCTACTGGTGCCATGGCAAGGGATCCTAGGCTGGGAGGGAGTCGAGAAATATATTGCTGTAACCTCAAAACGACCGATGTCCAAAGAGGTGATCCTGTGCAACACTGGCATTTAGGAGTACATCTAATTGAAGCGCCTGAGTGAATGTGCACAGAAGCACAGCCATCCTAAGTTAGGTAGTATCTAGGAATTGCAGCTGTTTTCCCAGAATTTTCCACCTGTTGTAGACCTTCATCTGATAACATGGCTGCTTCCCACTGGATATTTCTGAAGATAGGATTGCTTGTCTGCTCATATTTTGCTTGTTTCTAACTGCTGGTCAGTTTTGACATAGCATCGCTGTTTTGTTCTGTGTCAGCCAATCTATCTATGCTAACATGATTCTGAGGAATGCCTGCCACAGGTCAGGGCCTCATGAGCACACTGTGACTGCTTATAGAATGGAGTTTACCAAGCGATGAGCTCATTGCTTCCTAACATCATGTTTGATCCTTACTAATCTAGAGGATACCTTGTAGGACACTTATTATCCTATGTGTGAATAATAAAATCATGTTAAAAGTATCTTTTATTGGAGTATGGCAGGAGAACTGTTCCACATAAATTTCTCTCCATTGCCTCAAATTGTACTGTTGGCTAAAGCCCAAAATCCAATTTATTGAAGCATGATAAGGAAGCTAACAAAAAAAAGTATTCAGTGGTGGTAGAAATATAGAGGCATAGAGCAATATAGTTTATGATTTGACCAGACCAAAATCCTTTGCATATAAGCCAGTATTATAAAAATACAACAGATGTGATGAAAGCTACATGTTCAAACCCAAATATTACAACCAGCATCACTTGAGCAGGAGCCAGCATCTGATGTTCTTACTCATCACACAGTGAATGTCAGGTGGCACTTTGGAGGGAGGGTGGGAATCCAACTGGAGATGTTTTGGTTGCCCTCACCTATTGCTGTAGAAAATAACTCTTCTCCCACTTCTTCTGTAGTTGGAAAAACCTCCTTGATCACCAGATTTATGTATGACAGTTTCGACAACACCTACCAGGTAAGTGGGAGCATAGTGATATTCTTCCAAAGCAGGGAGCGGCACATTTCAGAGAGTTACAGATCTACTTTGTTTTTCATTAGTGGGCAAGATATAAAATAGGGACATGCTAAAAATCAAGGGCCGGTATACTTAAATTTCACTCTCTTTGTTGGGTGCTTTAGAAAGCAGAGAGGGTCTAAAGATAATGAATCAGGATATGGTTGTACACAACCATATTCCTCCAATAGAGAGAATAAAAATTTATTGACTAGCCTTCAAATGGCTTAATAGTTTTATCCTGACTTTCATATTTTAATTCTGTTTCAGTTAATTTATTGACTCTTATTGCAGTGTTTTGTTGTTTGAGGCATATATGCTGAGGCACTCCTCACCAGGAGTCAGAGAAGCAGTGTGGGTGGTCATTTTCTCACTCCAAAGGCCCGAAAAATCACACATCTATTTCCCAAGAAGCAATGCACACAAGATCTCTTTATGGAGAAGATTGTGGTCATATTTGTTGGATTTTACTACCCAGTTGGTAGGGGACAAAATTAATACATCTAATAAAGCAGCCACAGCTTAGTGTAACATCTTCCTATTATTGGGAATCTCCAGATTGCCTTTATTTTTGGTGTAATTATGGGTTCCTGTGGAATAAAACAACTGTCATGAGCAGCTGTATTGATTCAGTAAAACCCAAATTCCACTAACTTAGTTTGGATCCAGTCCTGCATGTCCACTTGCAGTGGTCATTAGATTTCTTAATTGATGAGTTGGTTTTTGTATTTCTTGAATATGATTAAGGAATTTAAAAATGTGATTTGTCCACTCCTAGAAGTTTGTTTGTAGTTGACCATTACTGATTTTTTTTCTCATTTTTCCAGGCAACAATTGGAATTGATTTCCTCTCAAAGACTATGTATTTAGAAGATCGCACGGTGAGTGGGATTATGCATTTAACCTGTCAAGGATCTTTTCACTCCACAGCCTCATGCTAGGTGTAACTGGCTCACTTTTAAGAGTTCCCCAAATCCCTGGTCTTTGAGAAGGAACAGCAAGCAGGCTGTGATGCGGGCACCGATTTAGAGTGCTGTTGAGGGAGGAAGAAAGATCAGCTCAGAACTCACAAGTTCTGTCCCATCGAACCGGGGAGCATTTTGTAACTTTTAAGGCATTTTTCTCCCTGATTCATGAGGGCTAGAATTATGCAGTCTTTGGAGGGTGAAAGGCAATGAAAGAAGCTGTCCCTGGGAACCTTCATCATAGGACAGATTGTATACAAGATATACTGTCCGTGGAATTTAAATATTTGGCTGCAGCACCTTGAGTTTTGAGAACTGGAGGGAGGCCAATCTAGCATATAGAAGATTGTCTGACATCAGCTTCTTCATTTCTGTAACAGCACAAAAGTACAGAATGACTTTCAGGTTCTTAGGTCATTCCGACTAGAGTTCTGTGGAGAATGGGCTAGGCTCAGAGCCGCTCAGTGGATATGATGTCTGAGCAGAAATTTCCCGTCCATAACACCACGCTGGCTCCATGGTTTCAGTAGAAAACCTCGTGCTGTCTGGCAACTCCCCCAGAATTGGCTGTGCTTCTAGCGTGCCTTTGGTTTTGGCTGTCACGAATAGGCCAGGAGTCGTTCAGTTTGTCTTACATGTTCGGGTATCCTGGGCGCTAAATAAACCTTTGTCTCAAACTGCTCAAAGACCAGCGAGTGTGACCTGCCAGCAAAAGCAATAATGTTCTGCCTGCAGTAATCTGCTGATGGGCACCTTTCTGGGCATACCCCATGGGGCCCCACTCCTTCCCCTGTTTTCCTAATTAGCATATTTTCTCACCAGCAGCTGGGATTCTTCAGGTTAATATTGGATATTGTGGGTTCAAAGCCATTTCGTACACTGGGGCTCTGATCCCACCCCTGCCTTGAGCGTAGCCTTTTGAACAAGTCGTTTTTCCTTTGCCGCTCCTCCCGACAGCAGCCATCAGTGATGGTGCCTGAGACAGATGGTCAGATGTAGACATGGCCCAAAATACTGTTCATTTCTAATACGCCCTTTAACACCGCCTTCTTCCCAATATGAACAGGCAACAGAGGTTTTGGCAGGTCTGACTCCCCTTTATTATGCAGCTGAATTGAGACATGGGCAGTGCACGCCAGTGGAGATATATGTGGAGAACTCAGCTGAAGCCTCTGTTGCTCTTTGGTTGTGTGGGTGCACGTGTGTGACAATGAGCCTACGTGACCGATGTGCTGAAGTGCTTAATGAGGGGCCCAAGAGCAAGCTTGCATGCTGGAATATGTTTCATAAAGGCCTCGTGTGCCCTGCATTTCCTGGGACCTGCTTGTTTCTGCTGTGGGTAAGACAGTGGTTTGAAAGGTTATGCCAGAGGCTTAAGGAGCATGGCGGCAGACCCAATGGCCAGCTGAATTGACATACAGAGATCGTTCGGAGAAAGAGATGGCAAGGTATCCGTTGGCAAATTCTTTGTTTCATTTTGCATTGCATTCTTGTTTCCTTTAAAGTTTTTTTTTTCTGTTTGTTACTTGCATTGTTTTGCCTCGAGAGCTGGCGTTCTTTTTAATTTCACATAAGTTTCTTTTGTTTTGTTTTTGCATATTCCTGCTCTTTCTCCCCCTCCTTCCCCCCACATTTTCTGTTTTCTCAGATCAGGCTGCAGCTGTGGGACACAGCCGGCCAGGAGAGATTCCGCAGCCTCATTCCCAGCTACATCCGGGACTCTGCTGCGGCTGTCATTGTCTTTGACCTTACAAGTAGGTACTGAGACCGAGGCTCCGTGAGGGCCTTGCTTTTCGCTGAGGAGAAAGCGCAACACTTGTCCTTCTCAAGAAGCAAGCATCATGAAGGCCACCCCTGAACCTGCAGCGTCAGTTTGGTAGAATCTATAGCTACTAGAGAGGGGGCTCCACTTCGTAAATTTTTCGGTACATGAGCTGCAATCAGACAAGCACTGCTGTATTGTCAGTACCCATTTTATAGCCCTTACCGGGAGAGAATGCACCTAGTAATACCCAAATGTACATCTCTGCTGTAAGGAGCAATAGTATTTCACTGCTTGTAATAGAGCACTCTAGGTGGCTGCCTGCCAACTCGAGTTTTGATATCAAGGCACCATCTTGGAATTGATTACGGCCTTTTAATCCAGAAATTTAGACTGTTGGCAATACCTTACTTAGAACACTTTGACTGCTTTCATGCAGTCTGTGCCTGACTTCTTCAGGATGAAGTTTCCATGTGTTGTGCAACACTCCACAAAATAACAAAGGATCAGGTTGAACTTCCTATTCCATTATAAGGAGCTGGAACATCTTTTGGATGCGTCTGGTGTCCCCGATAACTCTGTAAGTAAGACTAGAAAGTCCATTCTGAGCCAGGCCAAGAGTCCATAGAGATCATACTGTCTCATGCAGCCAACCAAATATATGTGTATCACGCTTTCTGCAACACAAAGGCTCTATTTTTGCTTGGCTTTCACACTGCTTCTCCCCCAGAAATAGGCTTTCAGAAGTGCACTACTCCCTCTGGGCATAGTTCCACTGAATGATCTTAGCGAAGAAGCATCAGTCTCAATACATCGGTCTAATCCAGGGATCAGGAACATGTGACCCTCCAGATGATGCCGGAGTGCACCTTCCATTATCCCTCACCATTAGCCATCCTGAATGGGGCTGATGGGAGTTGCAGCGTGCCAATATCTGGAGAGCCATGTCTCTGCCACCCTACACAATGCCCTTGGCTATCACAGCATCCTTCTCCATCTTGTGGCTAGAAACTTCATAAGTTGTGCGTTCCGTGAAAATCTGCTTGTCGAAGTGTTGCTTGGAGCAGCTATCCTTGAAGCTCCTGCGCCATTTCACAGTTGGTTTCTACTATACTAAAGGAGGTTGGGGCCGGGGGAGACGCATCATCAAGTGCCACATTTCTACCCTTTCAGCTTAGTCCTAAGGTCTTGTGCTGTGACATCACAGGAAGTTGTGAGTTCTGTGTTTCCTTGTGACGTCTTGTTTGCTTCCCTTGATGTGGGTGGTGGCAGGAAAGTTAAGTAAGAATGTTGGCTCCTGGAGCAGGTGGTTGGGAAAATGAACCTTTGCTGTGTGGTATTGAGGCCTATTTAAAGAAAGTGTGCACCCCTCCAAAGGAAAGAAACAATGACCTTTCATTGTGGAAGAAATGCTGTAATATTTCTCTGTTTCCCACCTGTTAACTCAGACCTGAAATGAAACTACAAAACCTGAAATGCAGCACAGCTGTCCACCCAAAAAAAAAAAAAAACCCATGGTGACTGTCTAGAAAATAATGCTGTTCTACATCTAGGACTCCTCAGAATGGTTTGGCTTGTGATATTTCCTGAAGCGACGGTCAAGGGCTTTCGGCAGATGTTTAGTGCAGCCACTTGTGTTTGGGAGCACAGACTTGGCCGCCCAGCTCAGTGGCTGCTCCGGTTGAGGGCAGCTCCCCTTTCTCCAGTGCAGCCCCACTGGCCTGTATGCACAACAGAAAGGAGTTCTCCATTCTGGAAACAGGCCCATGGTATCTCCTCCTCTTGTCAGTGTCCTCTGCCAAGGGTGTTGGACAAGCGGGGTCCCTTTCAGTAGCTCATCTGCCCCCGCCCCACCCTCTCTTCCCCTTGTTCTTGCCGCATCCATCCTTTCCTGCTGCTTCCACTTTATTGTTTTCCTGCGTATGAGCGCTACCCTTTTTCATCCCATTTCCATCTTTGGCAGACATATGAGGAGGCGCGTTCATGTGGGAGAGGCAGCCCTCAAGCAAGCGGTTGGCTTCCTTTCTCTCAGCTGCACTGGCCATCGTGTATCGTTGGGATGCAGTCCCTGCAGGCCTTCCTTGGCTTTTACTAACATACACATTGCAGTCGGCTTGCGTTATGAAGTCCGGACATGTGCTTAGGAGCTTGCCTCGTTTGGCGTTGGTGTATTTAGGTGGTTAAATGCCTTGATGGAGAGTGGGGGGACGCAGGCTCATTTTAAAAGACACCCAGGGGCTCCTCCGAATTATCCTGTCTTCCCTGTCCTGTCATCAAGCTGGTTTGTATTTGGAAGTAGCACTAAAATAGCACTTGCCCAGTGAATCCATTTCAAGAAATAGGATTCCATTTGAAGTGTCAGATCAGTCGTAGAATGGTCTTCATTTGTAGATTTATCTGAATATATTCCTTATCTTTCAAATAGACAAGTTCAAAATCAGTGTGGAAGATGTGATGGAAAGAGTACTCTTTTCAGATGAATCCCTTAGGGCTAAGTCAAATTGCATTCTGTTTGCTACAGCTCTCTAGAGGAGGGACTAATCTTGTATTCTAATAAATATAAAGCTTTGTTAAAGTTTTATCCTAACTTTCCTTCAGTATGTTTGGGATGTGGTATTCGTGGGATTATTGCAGGGTTTTTTTTCTTTCTTTTCTTGCGTAAGAAACTAGGTGTGGCTGAGTGTATGTAGCAGACTCAATCACTCAGCAAGTTCCATGGCTAAAGGGAAATTTTCTTGATTCAAGTTCCGTTACGTGTTGACAACCTCCTGGAGGAAGCTTCTTGCTGTCAGATGAATGTATTAGGAGATAATATTGCTTGTGCACATGTTGAAAATAAGTGTTGCTTGCTCCACATTTCATGGAACCTTGAGCCCCTCTAACTGACAGACTGCCAGGTTCTCTGTTTCATAAAAGTCATACATAAGCTTGGTCAATGTTAGTATTTTCCACTCTAGAACTGATCAGAAAATAGCAGACTTCCTAGCGGAAGATGCCCTCTGTGTGGTCTTGCTCCCATAGGCCAGAGTATTTCTTGTCCTAGTATGCAGAGAGTCCACTAAATTGGTCTTATTGGGAGTCTCTGTCATAGTATGGAGGCAGCAAGTGGCTGTATGGTAATAGGAGCCAGCCGTGGTTCTCTTTAGTCCTTACGACTGCATTTTCTATTGAACTGCTTAGAGGCCTATTGTACGAGGCAGATCTGCCAAGTTCTGTAAAATTCCTTCTAATGCATTGCCTTTTCTCTAAAGGACAGTTTCTTCTTCTTCTGTCTTTTGTCTTTCTGTTTCTTCCCTGGGCTGGTACCAGCAGGTTCGACTACAGCTTTGGGACACAGCAGGCCAAGAAAGGTTCCGTAGCCTCATTCCCAGCTACATCCGTGACTCAACTATTGCAGTGGTAGTCTATGACATTACAAGTGAGTGTGAGATTTGTTTCGTTGTGCATTGCAACATTCCCTTCAAGGAGAGGTTGGAGCACAAAAGCCCTGTTGCCTAAAGATGGATCAGTTGTGCTCATTTTATGTTTTGCCAGCAAATAGGCTTATGGGTTCTTCAAGTGCCTTGTTTTTGCAAAATTGTTTTTAGAAAACGTTTGCATCTCGTATTAAAACGTATTAAACTGCCATTTCCCTGCAGATCTGAATTCCTTCCAACAAACCTCCAAATGGATTGATGATGTACGAACAGAAAGAGGGAGTGATGTCATCATCATGCTGGTGGGAAATAAAACCGATCTTGCAGACAAGAGGTAATCTGAGGGGCTGCAAGCTAGACTGCTTTGGCTTATGTTTGACAGAAATTTTCCTGACTTAGGCTCTTTGCTCCTTTCAAGATGAATAGAGATGACAAAGATACTCTGGTAGTAACTAAATTGAGAGAGAGTTGCTTGACGTTTCCCTATCTTCAAACATCATCCGAAAGTCTTTGAAGGTGCTACCCTTTCCTCTTTTTCACATGTGTCTTATATATTAAGCATCCAGGGTGCATCTTGACGCAGTGGGACACTCCTGCACATACAGTAAACAGATGTACAAAATACAATCTGACTTGTGACAACAGATCACTAATTTCCTTTGGAAACAAAGTTTTGGTGGCTTCAGTCAACAGAAAGTCAACAGGCTGATTTCTATCTTGTCCATCTGCCACTGCCCTTGGTTGGGAGTTACTCATTTATTGTGGCTCGTGCTTTCATAAGTAAACAGAATCCACATCATCAGGTGTATGGCATACTGCCCTAAGTTGTCGGGTGTACACATGTCTGCTTGTGTGAAGGAAGTAATTGTATGCAGGGAGTCCATAGGCCAGTGATGGTGAACGTTTTAGAGACCGAGTGCCCAAACTGCAACCCAAAACCCTCTTACTTATCGCAAAGTGCCAACACTTCAATAAAACCTGCAAACTGAGGCTTTAGTTTAATAAAAACAACTCACAGCCAGTCCAGGCAAATCTCCCCCCACCCCATTCCCCTTGGCAGCACATTGACCGGCAATGCAAAACCTCAGATGAATCGCAGCTAATTAGCTTTTTCTACACAGCTCATCATTTCTGCCCTTGAGAAGCATTCTCTGCACAACTCAACATTTCTACCCATTCTAAACACATTTCAGCCATCAAAATCATGCCAGGACGCCTCGATTTTCCAACCCTAACCCTACCCTGGTATGTTTTTATTTAAATAAAAAAATTCAACCTTAAAAAAAAAAAATTTCAACCTAAAATAGGGCTAAAGTTCCATTGAAAATAATGGAACTTTAGCCCTATTTCCATTTCAGTTCCAATGGAACTATTTCAAAGTTCCATTGAAAATAATAAGATTTTGAAAAGGCCTTCCTTGAGAAGCATTCTCTGCACAGCTCAACATATCTGCCCATTCTAAACCCATTTCAGCCCTCAAAATGGTACCAGGACGTCTCTCTTTTCTAACCCTAACCCTACCCTGGTGCCCACCCCCAAGCCTTATATAGGGCTACACTTCCATTGAAAAATGCAATTTTTTCTATTGTCTACTCTAATAGGAAGTTTTTCCTGGTATCTAGCCAGAATCTGTGTCAACATTCATAGGATTGCAGCTTTAAGTTAACTTCTAATCCTTTTGAAGCAGGAATAGGAAATAGAATTCTAGTAATTGGACCTTATCTAAAGGTGTAATAATGTATTGTTTTCTTCATCTCATTTGCATCGTTCTCCCCAGGCAAATCACCACAGAAGAAGGGGAGCAGAGAGCCAAAGAACTGAGTGTGATGTTCATTGAGACTAGTGCCAAGACTGGCTATAATGTGAAGCAGGTAATTTGGTGCCCCACCCAAAGAACTGGCTGCATTGTAGCCCCAGGTCCCCATAGTTCGATGTTGGGATTTCTCTTACTCAATGCTGTTCCGATCTCTTCTCAACCGTTTGGTGTTTGCCTTTCTTAATGGCGATGGCTGGATTTCTCCACTTTGTTCAAGCATTTTCTCTGTTCTGAGAGAAAATGCAGGTGCAGCTTTCATTTTGACTTGCCTGTTTTTCCTACTGCAAACTGTGTTCCAATGCCATTTATTTATTTATTTTTCGATTTATATCCCGCCTTTTTTCCTACAAAGGGCTCAAGGCAGCTTACATCTCCTCCTCCATTTTATCCCCACAGCAACAGCCCTGTGAGGTAGGTTGGGCTGAGAGTCTGTGACTGGCCCAAAGTCACCCAGTTGGCTCCATGGCTGAGCGGGGACTAGAACCCAGATCCTCTGAGTCCCCGTCCCAGCTCTTAATCACTACACCACACTGGCTCGCACTACACCACACTGGCTCTTTTCTTTCTGTGTATGTTCTGAGATCTTCTGCAAGTACCACATTTTATTTCTTGTTTGTTTGTTTGGCCTTTCAGCTTTTCCGCCGCGTGGCTGCTGCCTTACCCGGTATGGACAGCACCCCTGAGAAGAGCAAAGATGACAGTATCCTTCTCTGCTTCTGGGTAGCCCATTTTCATCTTCCCTGCAATGCTGGCTTTCCACTAATATTGTGCTAAATCCCCACCCCCTTCACTTATTCATTTAAACAATTTAAACCATTCTCTTCAGTTTGCAAAGAAATTTCTTTTGAAAAGAAATGTGCTGGAGAGATTTAAGAGAACTACTCAATGCTTGGGTTGGATTTCCTCAAGAGGTGGCTGAGGAGTGGGCACAAGTCCTGTTTTTCATTGTACAGTCATCTGTCCAGTAGCTAGTGGACGCCTCAATTTCTTACACTTCAGTTGAAGTCAGGAGGAAGGTAACACACAGGAATGCCTGATCCAGAAAGGTCCTGCAGGAGGCAGTGTAAGCAGCTGAGGGGGTAGCAGTGATTCGATAATCTCAAAAAAGTAGCAGAGGCTGAGAGAGTTGGGAACTGGAGCAAAGTCACCCAGCAAGCCTTACAGCTGTGCAGATTTGAACCAGCCCTGGTCCAGCACCTTTGCGCCACTTCTCACAATGGTTCTGGCTGCATCTGCAGCCAAAACCTCATCTGCCCCCCTTGCAGGTGGGTTTCATGTGCTTACAATCTGGCAGGCGACTGGTTTTGCCAGAGCAGATGGCTGATGAGGTTGTTCCTGTTTTTTCTCCACGTGCCTCTGGCCATCCTTTCTTCTCTTGCATTCACCTTTTCCAGGTCGAAAGCAGGAGGGGTGGCAAGCCAGAATGGCAAGGGTGGGAAAGACAGAGGCAGATCTCCTGACTTGGTGCTCTGGGCCTGAGCGATAGCTTTGTGCGGATTTTGCCGTTCCTGCCGAGCGTTGGCTGTTTTTCCTTGACCCGCTGCCTCCAGTGATTGACATCAAACTAGAGAAGCCTCCTGAGCAGCCAGTAACGGAGAGCGGCTGCTCCTGCTAAGGGATCCTTAGTGTGCAGCCCCTTCCCAGCTGGCCAGTCCAGTCTCGCCGAAGAGCATCACTTTTCATTGACTAGACAAACTTAATTTTCCAAGGGCTGGAAACCCAGTCGATACACAATGAGCCCCTCCCCCCCGGTACCGTGGGCGGCCCTGGCTGCTCCCCGTCGCTGCATGGTGTGAACCCCCAAATACCTCCTGTCCCTTGTTGGTTGTTGCACTTGGGTGTGTGCACCGACTCTGTGTCGTCCTAGGAATGCAAAGGGGGCAGAACCTTATTCCCAGTGTAGAAAAACTCGCACAAACCTCCCGCGAAGGCGCTGGTGGATCTGGGACACCCTGTGTTTCTTTTGCCACTGCTTTTGGTGCATCCCTCCTCCAGAAGTGGTTCCTTCCATCGGGTTGGCTGCACCTGCTCTTGCAGTGCGAGGCCCTGTGTGCGCTCAGTACTGGCTTCCCACAGGGTGGCCTCAGCCGCCTGTTGGCTTCCCCAGTTAGGCCTTTTTGCCCCTCCTTCCCTGGCAGCCGAGGAGAGGGGAGGATGCAGCTCCGAACGTACGATCGACACTAGATATTCCTACTTCCCGGCTGCCTAGTACCTTGATAGAGAGTAGATAACTCTCGCTAATTGCAGATTGCCTCAATTTTTTCCTGAAGGATGTTGGTGCTCAGTTTACAGTTAAATATGGAAAGGGAGGGTAGGTAAAACTGGAATGCATGAGGCTTGGAGTCCCATGTAGGAAGTCTCATTCCTGCACAAGGACAAACTGGGAGTTTCGGAGCTGAGCTGTGGGTTTTCTCTACTTTCTTGCACATCCAGGCCATTTTCACCCGTACCTTGAAAGGGATCTTTGTGGATAACTCCACAGATGCAAGCGAAAACAGGGACTTGGAGACTAGATTCAGGCCGGTGCCCAGAGCTTCTGGATTTGTCTTATTTATCACTGACGTATCCTTATAAGTATGCAAAGTGCTTTGCAGCTGCTGTCATGCTTCATAGTTCTGTGACCGTGCTTACCGTTGGGTATGGCCTGCATTGACTTCATGGCTAGCTATAGGAAGGACCCCCATCTTGAATCGCGGGCTTTCTACTTCACTGGACTAGTAGCCCAGCCTTCAAAGTCTAAACTGAGTGACATAGTAATTCCCCTTCAACTTGTCCAGCCACTGTCCAGGAAGCAAGATATAGGACTCATCTGTTCTGATCGAATTATTTTTTCAGAGCTTGCTGTGGACCAGCTCTCAAATTCTGTATAGGCAGATCTGTTGTGGGTAGTTCAGTTTTACTTAACTGCACAAGAGAAGATAACGTTAAACTTTGTCTGATGTCTGTCCTTTCTGTGTAGACTGGCTTGTGTATCAAAAGGTTTTAGAGGGCAAAACTAGGTTTAGATCTTAGAATTCCTTATTTAGCACAGAATGTGTTTTCAAATACCTCCCCTGCTGTTAGATGCAAGTCATGCTAACATGCAACCTGACCTGAGAGACGGGTAAAAGCATGAACTGAGTCATTTGTCTCTAGTGGTGCTTGTTGGACAAATCGCCATTTTCTTTTGTTCGAGCTTGTTTTGTCCATTTTGAAAACCAAAAATCCGTCAGCTCCAGATACTCACCGACTCCCCTACTTCTGAAGCGGACTCGGGGCACCCTTCCTGTCACACGTGTGCACGCACAGGAAGTGAGCCTTTGCTAGACGTGCCCCTGAGCCTAGTGCAGGCACGTCTCTATAGGCATAGCTCTGTTCTTGCAGGAGCTGGAAATATCCCATGCCTCTTTCCTGGGGGTGGAGAGTCATTCTCCTTTGCATGAAGCCCTGTGCGTTGCTTGTTTCTTCACCATCTGTTCTGCCATGCCTTGGGCTGGGCCTGGCTTGCGACAAGACAGGCCATCATCTTTGCAGCAGAGAAGTGTTGGGCATAAAAGGGGGTGGGCTAGAGAGATGCTTTCCTGCCTGCCCAGCCCAGGAAAGCTGGTCTCTGTCCAGCACTGGAGGAATTCCTTGCAGCCCCTCGGTGCCTGTACCAAGTGGGTGGATAGTACTTCAGCTCTAGGCGTCGTTAACATGACCTTCTGCCCAGAGCGTGCTTTCATGCTTAACTTCAGTCTGTGATGCAGCATATGGCTTTCTTTGAAGGGTGCAGGTCTGCAGAAGGGTGGTTTCCTCATGAAGTTCCCTTCTTTTTAATCGGGTTGCCAACTTAATTTCCAGGAGATTCCCTTGACAGCGGACCTGCTGGAGAAAAATTCAGCAAGTGCAAGCTTAAGCCCCGCAGAGAAATTACAAAATGGAAAAGCCTTGTTAAATTCTGCTAATTTCTATATTAGCAAATACTTGCAAACAAATATTTATAAATGTATGAGTCTCCTTTTGGCCCATATTGGAGGCTCAAAAGCAGCTTCATCTTTGGAAACTTCAAAAGCATATTGAAAATGTCAAAACATTGCTGACAAGAACCTTAAAGGCAGGAAGGACTCTTAAAAGCAGATTCTTCCAGGTACAACGTAAAATTACTCTAAACAAGAGTGAATACCCTTACAAATTCCCTCATCAAGAATCTGTCCTGCTTGGCTTTTGTTTGTTTAATCATTTACCCAAAGCAGCTCTTTGCTCAAGAGGGGAGTCCAAACTGAGATATTATGTAACCGCGGAAAGCACTGGTGCAGCCTTCTCCATCCTTGGTTAACATGGAGCAATATTCCAGTCTGTACGAAGCTGCCAAGGTGAGGCCTGTTGCCTTTCCTGAGCGTTTGAGAAATTGCTCCAACATCTGGCAGCTGTATGCGCATCGCGGGGTCCGTGCTTGTCTGCACATGTCTGCTTCAGGTGGACCTGTGACTCCTTGGTTCCTGCCACCACCGCCGCCGCCGCCTCCTGGCTGGCATGGAGGGCATGCAGCTGTCGGGCTTGTGTATGCCTGGTGGGGGCACCCATTTCCATCCACTCCCCCTTGCATGTAGGATCTACAGGAAGTGTGGAGGGCTCACATGGTCTAAACTCCAAGTTCTTTACTGGTGTATTAAGTAAATACTTGGTTCGTGTGTCTGCATGGGACAGGAAAGGAATATGCTAGTAAAGAATGTGACGTTTTGAAGCACGCATGCTCCATCATCTGTCAGGATTTTAAAACATTTGTGCCCTTCCCTCTTTTTGCCCACTGGAGAGCCAGCACCCTGCGCGGGGGATGCAGAGGGCGCCCCGTATTCCTCGAGCCCCGTTACGTGAGCACAGGCGCCCCCCACGGAAGATGGGTTTTTCTTTCTTCCCCTCTGCAGTCACCTCTCCAGCAGAACTGGCAAGCCCACACGCTCGGCCCCCTCGGTTTCGAGAGCGCAGTGCCGCTGCAAAGGCCGGGACTCCTCCTGTGTACATAGCATAGCCTCCCCGTCACGTGGGAATTGCTGGTGTCCTGTCGGTGTGTCTTGTCTCCATCCCCCTCCCCTCCGCAGTCGAACTGGCGCCGCGCGCTCTCTCACTGGCAGCCCGGTCCTGCTACTGCTGTTGTGGTGTTCTCAAGGCACACTGGAAACGCGTCTTTCCAGGGAACGGGGGTTTTAAAAACGCATAAATGTGTGTTGGGGAGGGTTGGGGGGTGGTTGGGCAGGCGGGTGGGGGGAACCCAGTGAACAGCCGAGTTCGCTTCCACTGCCTTCTCTGTGGACCTGTATAATACTCGGGGTGTGTGTCTGACTCTGCCGTCTCCTAGCTGTTAGCCAAGTAAGTGACTCCTGATATATGAATATTGACTGTCAGACTACGGCTGTGTATCACACTAAATAAAGTTAATTTCGCCATGCTCTTGCCTGCGTTGTGATCGCTCTAAAGGGGCTTCTGGGCTAAGCTGCCCCTTTATTTGCAGAACATGTTGCTTTAGATCTTACAGATTTCTGCAGCCAGCGGATCCAAATTCAGACCTCAGCTCTTAGATATGTAATATAAGGAAAACGGGATTTGGTTATATTACGCAGTTGGCACTATTAATAAAGAGGGTTGTGGGGAGAGCTGTGTCTGCTGCTGCAGGTATTACTGGGCATTTAAGTCTAGCTCCTCCCAGAGCCGCTGACAATTCCCAGACATAGTTTGTGTGTTTTGAAGGTGATTTCTGCAGGCCATTGAGGCTTGGAACCTGGCTTATTCTAGCGAACAGTGGACTACATGCTCTCCGTTCCCCCACAATGACTTTGTCTTGATACTGGCATATAAATCCTCGATACGGTCTTTTTGTGTTCACTTTTTCTTTGGTATCTTTAAAGGAACTAATTTCTAATTTGTACTGCCCATACCCAGTGCGACACGATCCCTACTTTAAACACCCAAAACAGATCTGCACCCTAATCACCTGCCTCTTCTTGGAGTTGCTTAGAAGTCGAGCCGAAGAGCTGCTCCGAAGTTGTAGGGTAGCACCAGCCATCTGCATCTGTTGGCATCCAAAAGAAGTTTGTTGCCGTACAATTGCAACTTGTAACAAGTATTCAGCGTACCCGCCCTATACCGTTCCTTGGCCCCAAAACTGGGAGCCAGTGGCATTTAACATCTCACTTTGGCTTCCAGGATGACATGACTGGCTAGAGTCACTGATGTTAGCGTTCTCCGTGACCTCACTGTTGTATATACACACAGGCGCAGAGGGGGACAACCGTGAAGAGTGAGGCTGGATGACAATAAGACACAAAATGTGCGGGCCATGACGATTCGACACTGCTTGAATGTAGGCAAAAGTGGCACCGGTCTTGCATCTTCCATACTGGAGCTGGGTGTCCAGTTTTGCAACGAAAAGCCTATGGAATAGATCATGGTTCTACAGTATTGATTGAATCGACTGGGCACATCCCACACAACTCTGTGCAGACTTCCTAGTAGGATAGACGGTGCACAAGCGATCAATGGTGGGAAATGCTCTCTGCAAGCGGCCTCTTTCCAACGTGGGTGTCCCACCTCTTGGCTCCCTGTCGAAGCATCTCCCTATCCCACCTGTCTTTACAGTTTGCTTTATTTTCACTGCTGTTTAAGAAGGGAGAGGCTTTTGGAATAAACAGCCTGGTGTGTGGATTTTCACTCTGTCAGAGATAACACACAGTTCTGCAAGAGTGACTCATTTCACCTCCTTCAGCAGCCCGTTGTGCAGGGCTTCGAGTGAGTGAGGATGAAGTAGCATTCCTGCCTTGGCATTCCAGTTGTACTTGCCACCAAGGCTTTTTCCTGGAGGCTTTTCAGCTGTCGCATCTGCAATTAAAACATCAGCGTGGAGCCGTTTTGAGAGACCAGTGTGGGCTGCAGCCCGGCATAGTTCCTTGCAATGGATCTGGTTCTGCTGGTAGAAAAGGCAGCCTTGAATCTGAGGTTTAGTTCATATGCATGCCGTCCGTGTGTCTGAGTAACACTTGTGGTTCTAACACTGCAGCTTTTGTGCTCCTTTCATACGCATCTGATGCTTTTCCAAGCAAGTTTGCACAGAAGCCTCTGAAGTACTCAACAGGTAGGTCCTTCTCCCTTTAATGTATTCTTTAGAGGATATGTATATCAACCCTTCCTCAAATAAAAGAATTAAAATTCACACACAAATGAGTATGTACATATAGCTGAAAGCACAAGGGGGAGACATCAGCAAGACCCACATCTGCAAGACCCACAGACCGTACCTGGTGCTTCAAAGAAACATCCAAGCAAAACAAGATCCAGGCAAACCTGCTTGAGGAGAGAGGTCCAAAACATAAGGTCACACACTTGCTGGCTGCTACCTGTCTCAACTCTGATTGCTGGAGGATCCTGTTTGATGGTCAGAGTTTTGCAGCTTGGTATGAGGAGCGAGTACAAGGCTCTTTTCCAGGAGGAGACAGCCTCACAGGTATCGCCTCCTGCTAGAACAATAACTTGGAGCACCTAAATTGAACAACTCAGATTAAGCGTTTCCCATGCCCACAGGGAAGGGGAGAAAGGTGAGTGTAGCACATGGTTAGGTATTCTCTATTGCACTGGTGTTCCCATTTTGTGAAAGGCAGCTACTGCTTATCGCTGTACTTTCTGAACTTCCTTTCCTCCTGATCACACGGAATTGAAATTCAAAAGCCCAAGCAGTGATCATCACTATAATGCCATCTTTTCACAAAGCATGGCTCTGCAATCGTAAAGCAGATCAACCTGTAGTGGGAGTTTTTTTTTTAATCGCCAGAAATAGTTTGCTTGCGTAATGAATTATGCCTAAGCTCTTGCGTGACATTGCCTTCTTCCTCTGCTCACCTCATGCATCCGATGTCTTAGATCGGGTGCCTGGAAACTTAAGCCAGAATAAACTTGTTATTTTCTAGGGTGTCTTTAGATCCTGCCTTGTTTTTGTTGCGCGCTAACACGGCTACACCCTGGAAACAGTTTCAGAGCCAGTGGACGGGGAAGCGCCTAGGCATTGCGTAAAGCTCGGATGAGGAAGCATCAGCCTGATCCGCGTTTCACACGCCTCCGCCAAAGCACAACTGCTTTCTCTGCCTGCCAAAGGTTTGCATTTACAGCGTTTCGGCGGCCTTTTGCGCCCTTCCTCGTCTCCAATAAAAGTGGCTAGTTTGGAGCACGAAAACCCAAACTCGACGTCACTTCTGAATCTCCCGCTACCTAAGATCTTAGAACGTCCTCTCCAGAGTCTGGCTCATGGGGAAGAAACCAGAACTAAGGGCAGGGCCTTTTCTGTAAACACTGCTTACCAGCCTCCCTGGCAAAAAGCAGGTTAAATGTGCCCCGTCGACCTTTCCAGGTGAACCGCTGTCTCGGATTTTGTCCCCACCCTGAAGCATTGGCTTTTGCGTGTGCTTTGACTTGTTGGAAAGCGAAACGCTGCTCGTTCTTACGGCGCGGCTCGGGTGCAAAGTGCTTCCACGATCGCTCGGGTGACATTTTGGACACCTGCTGGAGGCGCAGCTGGGGAGCTTTCCGAGCGTTTTCTTTTCTCCTGAACGTGCAAATCCGAGTCATCCGGGCCGGGGGCGCAGATGGAGCTGCGAGCGACGCACGCGGATACTTCAAGCGCTCCGGGGGTCCCGCCACGCGCTTGCGGGGCTCGCCCCGAGCAGCCTGCAGGTGGCGACCTGCTTTTTTCTCCTTTTTTTTGAAACCACGGGGCTCCTCGCCAATCCCGAGAAAGCAGGTGGGAAGGGGCGGGCTGCGATTGGCCAGCGGCGCGGAAATAATGTTTCTACCGGCCCCGCTGCTGACCAATCAGAGGCCGGGAAAAGAGTTTCACCTGGTCGGGGTCCGGCCGTTCGCGTAGAGGCGTTCACCGCGATGGGGCGGACGCGGGCTGCGGGCTGAGCGCGATTCTCGGACGCCCCTGCGCTCTGCGGTCCGCGCCGGCGCTCGGCCGCTACGCAAACTGCGGGCCAGGGTGGCCCCCCGCCCGGAGCGAGGGCGGTTGCCGCTTCTGCCCCGCATGGAGCCCGTGCGGCTGCCGGACGAGGACGCCTTTCGGGCTTTCCAGGAGGAGTGCGTGGCCGATCTGGGCTGGCATTGCCGCTACAACCGGGAAGGCATCGCCGTTTGGGGGCAGCCGCCGCCGCAGGGGGACTTCACGGTGCACCGCGTGAAGGTGAGACGAGGCGGTGCCACGTGTGAACGCCGTACCCGTGATAACGGGGCCAGCGACGCGCGTCCCGATCCCTCTGCCAGGTGCCCGCGTGTGGCCGGAAAGGCAGCCTTGGGTGCCGAAGCGGGGAGGGGGTACCAGGTAGGGGGTACCTGGCGGGGCAGGGACGGGCTCGGGTCCTCCCGCGTGAGCCCCCGAATGATTTGCTTCCTGCCCGTGTGCGTCGCCTGAGCCTTCAGAGGGGTCTTCCGGAAAAGCTTGTTTCTGGGGCCGTGCCCGTTTTGCAGCCCTAACGAGGAAAGAAAGTTTGGGGTGCCCGGCTCCGAGGAAGTTCCCCAGGTGTGTGGGGGGGGCGCCCACGTTCCCCCGTCGCGCTCCTCCCCCGGGGGCTTGCGGACACCTGGCCACCCCCCCGTCCCCCATTGCCTTTGTTCTGCCTTACAGGTTTGTTGGGATGACTTAAAGGGCGTGTGCATGTGTGTGTGTGGGAGGGAATAATATAACATTTGCTGTTCGGAGTTCCTTGACAAGTTTGCTGTTCGGAGTTCCTTGACAAGAAGAAGTTCCTTTCCCGCTTTCTTTGCGGGAAAGAAAGCGCTTGCTATTTACCTGTGTCCTTGGTGCACAGTTACTTCATCCGTGATGCTGATGGAAGCAGGTGTTAAAGGCTGGGAAAGGGCAGTGCTTGGGATTGATGGAACACGGGGGTTTGCCTGTGGCTGATAGGTTAGAGCAGCAAGTCCCAAACTTTCCGGCATGGAACCTTTCTGAAGATGAGTTTTTCCCACGGAAGCCTAACTCTATCCCTGAGTTTTACTAAGTGCTGTGAACCCGCAACATTTTTCTTTCTGTAGGCTTGGAAATAAAGAGTAAACCTTTTAAATACAATGAATGAATGAAGCAATTATATGGAGATATCGGAAATGAATTCTTTCAATGATTCCCAACATTATGCAATAGAGTCCTAGGAACAGAATGACATGATACATTTCCTTGTTTGCTGCTTGAATACCGACAACCAAATAGTTGGCCTTATGCGGTTCCATTTTAAAATCTGTGTTAAATTTGATTTTTGAGATTTTTCATGAACCCTAGGGTCCCGTGAAACACAGTTTGGAAACTGCTGCATTTTCATTTCTTAGCTGAACACAGGTTCCAGGTGCTGCAGAGAGGCCAGCCAAATTAGTGGTTACTCTGGAAATAGACTAATCCAGGCATTGCTTGTAAAAACAGCTTTATCCTAAAGATACAAGAAACTATCAGGGGCTGCCCCAGCAAGAAACCAGTGTGCTTGTCCTGGGGAGACATAATTCCCTGTGACCACGCAGCCCAGTTGTTCTTGGGCTGTGATTTGCTCCCTGAAGGCATCACCATTTTCACAAGTGATGTTTAAGTGCAGCTTTAGCATCTCCTGGATTCCTCATTCGTGCACTGTGTAAAACAGCAGTTTGTGAAATGCACATGCATTCTTATCACTTTTCGAGTGTGTAAATGAAATTCACAAGTGACTATTCCAGACGAGACTGGATTGTGAGAATGCACACAAGAACACACAATCCTGCGTGTCTGAGATTGTTTAAAGTGGAACTCTTTTATCCGGGGCTTTACCTGAGACAGGGACATTCATCCTGCTGTTTTGTATGCAGCTAGGGCCCCATAGCTGATCCCTGCTCTTAGTCTCTTTACACTCACGACATCCCTGTGAGGTGTAGACTCAGTTGAGGAATGCAAGTGGCCGGCCAGAAATCACGTTGAGGCTTGCCCTCCTATGATGTCCCACGGACTCGCATTGAGTGTGAACTTTCCTCCCATTCACAGACACCGTTTCCTGGCCTTTGTGCCACAGCATCTTTGCCTGGCTGCTGCCTTCCCTCCAGGTGAGCTGCTGTATCTTGCTGAACTCAGGGGCCACCCATTCTGGCCTGCTTGTGTGCCTCTCGGCCACAGCTTCCCCGCCCATCATGAATGGTGCCTGTAAAGGCACGGTGGCAGGTGTGCTAAGAGCAACGTAACACAGGTTGGAAAACAGGAAATGCCAGGACAGCCGTGGAGCAACGAAGCATCCATCTCTGGGTCAGATCTCCCGAGCACTCAGATTTAATTGTGCCACGTCTGTCGGAAAGCTTGTCAGCTATGTGACGGAAAGCGTAGTGCTTGCTTCGGGCTGCAGGAGTTGACCTCAGGCCTGGTTTTGCTTGCCAGCCAGGAGCCTCCTGGCTGGATCAATGATTTACGAAGCACTTGGGCTGTTCCGGTTTTACTCTGGGATGGATGCAGAGGGGAAAGCTCCTCGGCAGCAGACGGGATTGGAAGAACAGAAAGGGCAGGGTGTGCTGTCCTCCGTCGGAAGCTGGCCATTTTGGAAATGGCTCTGAGATCTTCTACAGGCTCATGGAGGGTTCAGCAGACTTTGTGTGTTTATCATGCAATCCTGCCGACTGGAGCCTGGTCTTTCAGCCACAATGCTGATGGCAGACACACATTCTGAGAGTCTGAACGAAACGGATCTCGCTGTTCTTCTGGGAAAACAGCTGGGGATTTGGGACTCTTGGCTGAAGGGCCATGTGTGTTGCTTTACTCCAGGAGCACGCAATTAGCATTTCTCTTACTCCCCCTGTGTGCTTAACAGCTTCTCTTCTCCTGGTATGCTAATGTAAAACAAACAAAGGATCAAGCAAAGGGCAGGTTGCCAGCCCCAGGAGAAAATAAAGAGAAATGCAGTTTTGCATTTCAAATGCGTTAGACTGTGGCACCTTCATGACTTGGAGACTAAAACGGAGGTCACTTCCACTGCTCAGCATATTTAGGAAGAAGCACTATTTTGTTTTTTAAAAAAGGGAACTTCTGTTTGAAAGTAAATCAAGCATGTGGAACTATATGCAGGCCTGTTTGGCTCTGATTATGCTTTTAAAAGTGAGGAGGAGGAGGAGGAGGCTGCAGTGGCCATTGTCCAAGTTGATGGGACCCTCATGCCTGTACAAGGCCCAGTACTGAGGTCAGGTTTGTTTGCCGGTTCCCCATCCTTGCTGCTCTCTCGATTGTTTGGGCCTAAGCTACAGGGTCCAACCATCACTCTGCTACTGGGACACTTGTGGTTATCCCCCTCTTTCTTCACTTTGGGAGTATAACATGCAGTGAGGAGCTGGAAATCCCCGGCACGCTGTGTGTGGGGCATTTTTGGAACTGCAGGGGAGGAAGAATGGGGTGGAGAGTGCTGGAAGAAGATATGGCAGGCATGAACAAGAGCCTGCTGTGCCGCCATTTTTAAAAACCATAGCTGCGAATAAAGGAGAAACGAGACCCCACAAATGGGCGATTGTTGGGCAGGAACTCTTGGTGTGGGAGCATTCAGAAGTTACCCAGGAATTTCCTTCTGTGCTAACTATAAGCTTCCATGGCTGGATGTGCTGCTTTGGCATTTTCACTTCCCACTTCTGCTGACCCTTGGCTTATCTCAAAATACCTCTGGAAGGATGGTCAAAGCACGAGAACATGTGACTGGTCTTTTTGACATCAAGCTATGCAACCTCTTAGGAATTACCATTTCAGAACAATAGTTTGGCCAGGAAGCAGTGGGAGAGGAAAAACCTTGGAAACCAGCAAAGGGTTGACTGGTTGGCGTGTCATCAGCCACAGTGTGTTGGTTGTTCAACCCATGTTCCTCCCTACAGACAATCCAGTGCTCAGTGGCTTGCTTTACCTTTGGTCCTCCTATGCACACCTGCACATATCCCATGGGCCTTTGCAGCACAATCCCGGCAGCCTTCTCCACTCCTTCCATAATGAGTCCTTAATGGAGCACAGGCTTTTCCCCCACCTTGGGAAGAACCGCACTAATGCCACGCTTCTTCCCCACTTTGGAAGAGACGTGCGTGTGTGATTTTTTTATTCTATTTATTTTGCATGGATTCCTGCAGAGAGGTGTACAAATTTGCTAAGACAGGCAGTTACTGCAAATGTGTGAAAATCTCACCCAAGGTTTGTTTTTTTTTTAAGTTTTATCATTTTGTGCAAAGATACACAAAGGTTGGGCAGGGGAGGCTGGGGTCACTGGCCTGTGGCCTGTCTTATGGAAGAATTGTGGGAAGGGGAGGCTGCAAGGAAGGGGATGGAAGACAGCACTAGTGAGATCACCAGGAGTAGCCGAAGGTGGTTTTGCTGCCCTTTCCAATAAATTAAGCTAAACCACTCTGTGCACACCGTCGTGGGTTATTCAGGCTGGCTTGTTCTCAGGCTAGCTTGTGTCCAGTTACCAGGTCTCACTGAGGAATCGGCAGTGAGTTCAGACATCACAACAAGCCATCCTGCAATCAACAAGGGTGGCCATGCACCATGGTTTGTCCTGCCATGTGAACCAGGTCAGGGCTTTTTCATTTCTTGTAATACCAGCACATTCCCTTATTTTTGAAGAGGGAATCTTTTCTTGCCTTGGTGGAACTTGCCAGGTAGAGCAAGTGACCAGCAGTCTTTGCAAATCAGTTTCCCAACTGGCAAGATTCTAGTAATAAGGTGTCATTAAAGGCAGGATGGATGCTGGATCGCATCCAGCGAAACTTCTGGAAGTGTAATGCTGCTGTTGCTGCTTTAAATCATATTATTTGGCAATTTCTAGCAGTTGTTACTTTGCAGTAGGGCGTTATAACATAGATAAGTTTTGTATTGCAACAGTTTTTTAACATGTTCTACCTGCTTTTTGGAAGTGAACACACGGTAATGAAAAAACCCTTTTTGACCACTAAAAGACTGATAGTGCAGTAGTGGAAAAATAAACACTCCCCCCCTCCCCAGAGTGGGATGGATCAAAGACCTTATGAGGCTTTCAATATTAAAGCAGGGGATACAATAATGTAAATTTAGAGCAGATGACATATGATGTACATACTTTTAAATTTGTGCAGTTATGTAGATATATTATTTTCTGTCGATTTTTTGTTTCATTTTGGTGAGATCCCAGTAAAAATAAATTCAATTTCAGCCAAAGGATGCAATTCAGTTCGGGGGAATTCGTGCGCTGGGTGTGGTGCGTGGAACCCGTGGGCAGAAATGAAGGCAACGGAAGCCTTCAAAATTGCTGGGTTCAGCTGAAAGGGGCTGGGACGTTTGGTGTTTTGAAAGTTCTTCCTGCCAGTAACTGAGCCAGTAAACTGGGGCCAGGGGTGGAGGGATGCGCAAAAGCCATGAAGCCACCAAATGATGGGTGGTTGGGGAAAAGAGACACCCTGGATTGGGCTCCTCGATGGTCTGGATTTCAGCCACTGGCCTGAGCTTAACTCCTCCACTTAGAACCATCGGCAGCATCACCAGCCTTTCAATGACTTCCTGAAAGCAAGGAGAGAGACCCCACAGAATTTAGCTCTTCACTCCAGCAGCCTTGTGGATGCTGGACCATGCCCCTCTCCCCCCCCCCCCCCCCCCCCTGCGGCCGCCGGACCCCCCCCCCCCCCCCCCCCCCCCGCCCCCTGAGTGCCACAGAAAGCAGGTGGGCACACCACTGGCCTTGCACCAGAGAATTCCCCACGGTTGCTCCAGCAGGAGCCTGGGGAGAGCCGGCCTCCTGAGCGCACGGTGCCTCAGCGCGCTCTCTCTGTCCTGCAGGGCCGCATCCACATGCCAGATGTGCTGGCCCAGACGGCATATGACGTGCTGCACGACACGGAGTACCGCAAGAAGTGGGACATGAACGTCATTGGGACCCACGAGATCGCCCGCCTCTCGGACAACGCTGACGTGGGCTACTACTCATGTGAGTGAGGAACAGCGGGACGGCTGGGCAGCTCCGCCGCTTCCGGCTCCCGACAAGTGAACGGTGGGGTTTGGGTCACTGGTTCTGTAAGGCAGGACCTTCTCTGATGCATAGGCAGGAGAGCTACCCACCTCCATGTGGGGGCTGGAGGGGCGATGGTTAGACCACTACGCCCAGCATCTAAACCACCCAACTTCCCCAGTGAATGGGGCATTTGGACCAGAATCCAATGTGCTTTGGGCCCCAAATGCTCTTCTTACTGGCTTCTGACAGTCGCAGCACCGAGTCTGCAAATGTGTCCCTGTGAGTCATGATGGCTCAGCATTCTTTCCAAGTATTTGAGGCCACGTGGCAGGAAATGTGAGCCGGAAGACGATGCTGCCTGTGGTGCTTGTGGAGGCCTCTGCTGGCCGCGAGGGGACCCAAGTGCTGCACAGGATGGGCACATCCCCTCTTCCATTCTTACTTCTGTGGGCAACACCTGATGATGTTTCCAACCACAGTAGAACATTGAGGAACCACGTGGTTTGCACCGCTTCTGGTCACTTGCTTGTAGCAAGAATGAATTGTGTCAATTTGACAGTGCAGATTGCAGGCTTCGTCTTCCATCCCCCATTTTTGCCCGTTTTTCTTACTTTGTTAATCATCACCCAAGGTCTCTTAAGAGTTGGAGGCATTGAAGAACCATTGGCTGCAGAGGATCACTATTTTGCAGAAACAGAGTTTCTGAACCCATCAGTTCTCAAAGGCAGCTTTGAAAATAGGTGTGGGAGGTGTGATACACTGCAAAATTCTTTGTCCCTTTCCATAGTTAGCAGGAGTAGAAAAGAAGCGGTGGGGGTATAGTGGTTAGAGTGAGGGATAAGGATCTTATCTCAAAGGGTTGTTGCAGTGATCAGAGCAGGAGGGAAAGGAGTGCCCTCCACAAGCTCGGTTCCTTGGAGCAAGGAGAGAGAGACATGGATTAAACAAAGACAGTAAGATCAACAGCTACATGCCGATGTTACTGCACGTCTCTAGACATTTTCTTACAGTGGCTTTTCTTTCCTCCCTGGCTAGGGAAGTGCCCCAAACCGTTGAAGAACAGGGACGTAGTGGCACTGAGGTCCTGGCGAGTCCTGGATGACTCTTACATCATCCTCAACTTCTCTGTGAAGCATCCAGTGAGTATGGGGGGGTGGGGGTGAAGTGGGGGCCTATTGCGCATGCGGGTGACTCAGGTCCACCCAGGAAATTCAACCCCTGAGCTACTCTCAGGGTTTGGCAGGGAAGGGTCCTCGAGACAGCATGACCTTCTCCCATCCTGTTCTTCGTAGCTGGGGACAAAGCCAACAGTGGAAAGTAGCAGTGAGCCGAGATCTTTCCCATGGCTGACCCACTGAGGCGCAGCCTCACTCTGTGGTCCAAAGCAGGGGTGAAGAACCTGAAGCCCATAGCCAGGTCCAGCCTTCCGAGGGCCTCCCCCAGAGGTCCACCAAAGGACATCCCAGCTCCCCTTTCCCCCCAGTTGTCCACGCTTTGGCAGTCTCCCGCGCACTAAGACTTCTGAAAGGTCAAAATGCCTTTCTTCAGCCTTAAGAATATGAGATTCATGGGGAGTCTAGCTGAAATTTTCCTGCCCGGCCCTGGAATGTGGCCCCTAGGCTGAAAAAAGGCTCGTCACTTCTGGCTTAAGTGTACAAAGTCAGCTCGGTTGCCTCCAGAACCAGACCTGCATGAAGGCTACATGAGTCTTCCTCCCGGCAGGAATATCCTCCAAGCAAGGACCTGGTGAGGGCCGTCTCGATCCTGACTGGGTACTTGGTCAAGCCAACTGGACCCAGCAGCTGCATTCTGACCTACCTGGCACAGGTTGACCTTAAAGGTAAGGATGCCTCCTACAGATATGCTAGAGTGGCCAGGTGTCAGTCCTTACAGAGGACAGTTTCATTCCTCAGAACTATTCCGTGCAGCTGTATAAAAGGTGACGGTCCATCAGAAAGAGATCTTGAAGTTGGCCTAGGCAGATTGTCCTACACCAGTGGTGGGCACTCGATATGTACAAGGTTCACCATAACTGGGCTGGGATTAGAAGAACAAAGTGTCCTGGCATGATTTTGATGGTTGGAATGTGTGTAGAATGGGCAGAAATGATGAACTGTGCAGAAAAAGGTACTCTAGGAAGGCATTTTAAAAATCTCATTATTTTCAATGGAACTTTAGCCCTATGTTATGGTTACGGTGTGTCCCAGGGTAGGGTTAGGGTTAGAAAAACGAGGTGTCCTGGCATGATTTTGATGGTTGGAATGTGCTTAGGATGGGCAAAAATGTTGAGCTGTGCAGAAGAAGCTACTCTAGGAAGGCATTTTAAAAATCTCATTATTTTCAATGGAACTTTAGCCCTATTTTATTGTTAGGGGGTGTCCCAGGGTAGGGTTAGGGTTAGAAAAAGGAGGTGTCCTGGCATGATTTTGATGGTTGGAATGTGGTTAGGATGGGCAAAAATGTTCAGCTGTGCAGAAGAAGCTACTCTGGGAAGGCACTTTCAAAATTGCAGTCTTTTCAATGGTACCTTGCCCTTCTATTAGGGTTAGGGATCTGCCCCACGGTAGGGTTAGGGTTAGAAAACGGAGGTGTCCTGGCATGGTTTTGATGGTTGGAATGTGTTTGGGATGGGCAGAAATGATGAGCAGTGCAGAAAAAGGTACTCTAGCAAGGCTTTTTAAAAATCTCATTATTTTCAATGGAACTTAGCCCTATTTTATTGATAGGGGGTGTCCCAGGGTAGGGTTAGGGTTAGAAAAAGGAGGTGTCCTGGCATGATTTTGATGGTTGGAATGTGCTTAGGATGGGCAAAAATGTTGAGCTGTGTGGAAGAAGCTACTCTGGGAAGCCACTTTCAAAATTGCAGTCTTTTCAATGGTAGCTTGCCCTTATATTAGGGTTAGGGATCTGCACCAGGGTAGGGTTAGGGTTAGAAGAACGAGGTGTCCTGGCATGATTTTGATGGTTGGAATGTGTTTGGGATGGGCAGAAATGATGAGCAGTGCAGAAAAAGCTACTCTAGGAAGGCATTTTAAAAATCTCATTGTTTTCAAAGGAACTTTAGCCCTATTTTATTGTTAGGGGGTGTCCCAGGGTAGGGTTAGGGTTAGAAAAAGGAGGTGTCCTGGCATGATTTGGATGGTTGGAATGTGTTTAGGATGGGCAGAAATGATGAGCAGTGCAGA